TGACATAAGGAAATAATAATGTTATAAAACAGCAGAGAGTTGTATGAAAGCAATTGATGCATGTCAAAAAGCATTTGCAATTTGTTGGAAGAAATGAGAAGCTGCTACTATGATGTGCACAAATGACTAAATGTTTCGGAGGTTGAACTAACTGTTGTGCAAATGTTAATAGTGATGTGAGAAATGCACCAAAGCGACTGAGAAAAACTGTAACACGCTATTTACACTATACAATCAATAATAATCATTTACAACCAGATAAATGTCTGAAATTTAATCAGGAATAGTCCGTCAGTTTGGTGCTGTGGTGTTGTGGAGCCTGATGGCTGATAGCGCAAATGAGCCTCCAAAGCTCTTTGAGGCTTGGGGCTGGATGAGTCTGTGGTTGAAGGAGCTCCTGAGCTGCCTCAGCTCAGCATAGAGAGGATGAGAGGGGTTGTCCACAATGACTTTCTGCTTCCCTCTTATCCTCTACTCAGTCACTGCCTCCACATTTGTCAGTTTCATTGCTGTAACTGCACAGAGCTTAAAAGAAAAAAGCTCATCAGTTTCATGACTGAGAACTGAAACTCTGATTTTGACCAGTTTGACGGACTGAGGGAAGAAACATGTCTGTTTTCTGTGCAGTCTAACCTGTGGGACTCTAAATGTTTTGTTAGATGCAGGTTGATATTCTCCAAATAAAACATGGAAGGGAGTCTGTAGTAATGCTACCAGCTGGAGACAACATCCTTTTACAGTAATATGCAGTTTGAAAACTTAATTCAATCAGTCTAGCTTAAAGATGAACAAGAGAGACAACTGTACCATGCACGGATTCCATAATAATAATAACAATAATAACAATATTATTATTATTATTATTATTATTATTATTATTATTATTATTATTATTATTATTGTTATTATTTTATTGTTATTGTTATTGTTATTGTTATTATTATATTGGATTATGATTATTGAGGTATTAATGTGTACATCACTTTAATAATGCAGCTGATGGAAGTGGAGCTAATTTAAATTACTTAACTGGTGGGTAGATTGTGAATTTCCACCCGGGGATCAATAAATCTTAATCTACCATATTACATCATAAGTGTTTATATACTGATTATATTATATTACTAATCTGAACATGTAAATGTGTCACAGCGCCTGTCTGATCGGCCCTGTTTAGTTTGGGTCTCTGTGAGTTTGTTTGTTGGTCAGTTCGGTATCTGTTATTTAGTCTGTGTTTTGGGTTCAGTCCTGTCTGTTGTCCTGTGTCCAGTTTACTCTGGGTGTTTTTGCTTGTTGGTCTGATCCTGTCTGTGTCTTGTTGGGGAGTCTGTTTGTGTTGTTTTGTTATCTTGTCTACCTTGTCTGCTCTATTATAGTTCAGCCCGTGTTTTCTGTTTTGGGGTTTTGTTCCTTGTCTTGTGTTTCCTCTGTTTAACCTTGTTGTTGTTTTCTTTGTTCATTTGCACGTTTAGCTCACTTAGTAACTGTTCTGTCTCGGATCTTGGTTTATTCTTGCATTTTAGCTCTGTGTCTTAGTTAATGTCTTTGTATTTACCCCCTGTTCTGTGTCTGCTTTATTTTGGCTATTTCTGCTCTGTATTTTGTGTAATCCTCGTTTGTTTTCCCCGTTGGCTGTAGTTTATGTGTATTATTTATGATCTGTCTGTTCTGGATTAGTTTATTTATATTATTCTGATCCGTTCTGTCTTATTTTGATATTATTGGTGCCTGCCTTAGTTCTTGTTTGATTCTATTTCTACCTGGTTATTATCATTAGTTTACCTACTGTCATGATTGGTTTCTGTCTGTTGTCAGTTTATGTTCCCTGCCAGTTTCATTTATTCATTTGGTTATGATCACTCGGTGGTAATCTGTTCTGTCTTGTGGAGTTGACTGTATTTCTCAGTAACTTGGTCTGTTTGGTCTGTTCAGGGTTTTGAGTTCCAGTTAGAGTCTTGTCTTGTGTTTTGCTTCCCGTTAGTGTCTCAGTGTTTTCCGCTGCTTTCTCTCTGCCTGCCTGTGTCTCATTAGTCTCATGTCTGTCACCTGTGTTGCTCCCGCCCTGCTCGTTAGTACCTGTGTGTCTATGTGCTTGCTAGTTTCCCATCAGTCCTGCTCTGGTCATTGCAGTGAGTTGTAGTATGTAGCCTGCCTTGCTCTGTCTCGTTGTGTCATCCAGTTTCCCTTCTTTCTTTGGATTTTTCAGTAGATCACCTTAATTTGGATTATGGACTCAGGCACTCTAAGTGTGCTCGCTTTGTGTTTAAATAAACCTTTCTGAACTGAACCTGCTTTGTGTCCTGCGTTTGGGTCCTCCAACCTGCTCAACCCTAAACCTGTTAAAAAATGTAAAATAACAAGTCACTAAAGTTATCAAATTAATGTGGTGAAGTAAAAAGTACATATTGCCTCTGAATTGTAGTGATGTCGAACTATAAAGTAGCATGAAATCAAAATACTCAAGTAAAGTACAATTAGGCTACTGTTATATTCTATTATATATTATTCTATATCTATATATATATATATACTACTATATTGCTGCATCAAACCATGTGCTACTACATGTCACCCTATACTGTATCTCATAGTTGTATGTTTGTTTTAACCCTGTTGCAAATCAGATTTTCCCTGGTAGAACAATAAAGGTTGAACTGACAGCACATTATATTGTACTATATTATGTTTGTATGTTATACTGTTTTAATGCATTATATATTGAGTATCATTGCTTAATCATATATAAGTCTGGTTTGATGTTTATGTAAACTATACCAGCTGGCTGTTCTGCCACTAATCACACCAATATATCTCTCTTGCCTTGTAATTCTGTCTTTATTTTAGTTTTACTTAGCCTACTTATAATTATTGTTATTATTTTTACTTTCTGTTTATCTGTACTTAATTCTGTCCTTGAACTGAACTGAAAGATGTTTAAAAAATCTTTGAAAATCTTTTTATATCTGAATACTAATATTAGTTGTGTAAGAGTAATTTAAAAAATGTCCTGTTTTAAAAGTTAAAAGCTAAAACAGAAGAATCGGTGGCATTTCAAAAAATACAGTTATATACAGACAAACCAGGAGTTCTAAAGATTTCTCCTAGTGTTACATTTTTACACGACCAGCCAACTTTTTGATAAAAGACACAATATTTCATAAATGTGCATCATCACACAGTGATGAACAGTAAAGCATACAAGGAATTTCATGATGGCAGATTATCTGTATAGAACATCCCCATATAACAGACGAAGAAACTCTAAGATTTAACAGATATAGATAAATCTATTATCCGCAAAGCTTTCAGAGGCCAAATGGCAATGCTGCATGTTGGTGATGATTATCCAGGGGTGATAAAATGAAATTCATCAGTAGGATTGCAGTAAAACAGAATACATACAGAGGATAGAGAAGAAGACTATTTATAAATACCCCAAAGGTTTCAAATTAATAATGCAGCAACTGTGCAGACCTTTTAAACGGCCAGTTTATGGAGTAAAAAAATAAATGAGCTCCAGGAATTAAAATAGTTTAATGCCATCTGCTATAATGGTTTCTGAAACATTGACATCACAAAACCGACCCATGGGACTGAAAGGAAATCTGGGGTATCTGGCCTGAATAGATGCTATCCCCTCTGTGGATCAAAAAAAGGCCTATCTAAGTGTTTACCTACAGGCCTCTTCCTCCATCTCATGAGTTAGAGTTACAGGTCCAGATTCTAATTCTATGTCATTTTCATTTTATTAGTATCAGGCTGAAAATGTGCTGTAATATGGAAGTTCATAGGTGGAAGTTCACAGGTTTTCTGGTTCTCACGGTTAAGCAGAGATGTACTGAAAACAACGTGAAACACACCATTCATTCATATGGACGCGCGTCGCACCGCAGGCCGCAGTCACGGAGGCGCTTTCATTTTCTCTCTGCTTCTCCTTTTCATGGCACCTACTGGACACAGTGCAATTCATTAATGATTATTATGAATCCACACAGAACTTATGATGCAATTCTAAAGAGACGAAATGATGGTCCGGTGTTGTGCGGAATTCTGCATGCCTGCCGAGAATTACATGCACCTCGAGGGTAGCAACGCTGCTGAGAAACGAGGTGGATGCAAATCTCGGCAGGTAGCCTACAACATCTGTTCTGCCGAATTATGCATCCACCTCTTACGGTCTTTTCAGACAATTTGTTGTGCTCATTGATCAAACGCGGTAATCACCACATATGTTTGCTGAATCAAAAGGAATGCTTCTTCTACAGAGTGTAATACATTATTAAGGACTCTAAACGTTCATAAAATATATACTTCGATTAATTATCACCATTGATGTACCCCACAAAGGATATTAGGCTATAGCGTTTAAAAGCAGTTTTTGGAGGTGCATGCAAAACTCGGGATAACACCGGCATTAAAATCAGATGACATAATCAGAAATCTGTAAAATTTGAAACAGTCTTCTAGACAAACAAAATGTAATAGGTAGGCCTAAATAAATGTTAAAATAGCCTAAATTATTCTCAGTAAGCGAGATTTCATTCAAGGACATTCAATGTGTCTACAATTTTCTCTTTGGCCTGAAAAATTTCAATAATTTTAATATAGGCTAGGCCTATAGGTAATAATAATATAGGCTACCTCCGATAGGATCGAAAGTAAACTATTCCAGTATTATGAATAACGAGGTGTGTTTGTCTTTGTATTTGAAAAGTATTGTATAATGTGTTTTTCCATAGGCTATTACAATAGAAGCCTCTCTTAATATGTAGCTCCCGGGCATGATATTCTAGCTTTGCGGTGGTTTGTTTAAGCTTTTATCGTAGGAGATTTGTTTTCTCATTAGAACAGTAGTGAATACCGTGGAATCCCGTGTTACCTCAGGTGTATGGAAAGTGAAATAGCTGCCTCCTATAAATGAGGTGCTGCAGGTCTGCTGCAACACAACACACAAGAGAAATCAGTATTTGCTCCTTCCAAAGGAATTCTACCTTCTAAAAATGCTCAACAGGATTTTCTCTGTTTGCCTGCTTCTCAGTCTGTACAGTGCAGCCTCCTCCCTCAGCTGCAGATGGATGGATCACAAATTCAGTCAGCACAGTGAAAAGTCTTTGGAGCTACTAGACAGGATGGTAAGTTGCTTCATTTATATTATTCAAAGTATCTATATTTAATGAATTTACTTTACTGTCTTTTTACTTCAGAGCATGACCTGTGTGTTTATTTGTATGATGCAGGAGAACAATTCAACTAACACCACTGGGGATGCTGAAGTGAAGAACACTGCAGCCTTCCCTTATGATCTGTACAGCCAGGCGTCCAAAGCATCAGTGAGTCATCCTCAACTTTTGTCTAAATGCAAAATAGAAGAAGCCAAAGACATGACTTGATTTGTTTATCTTTAATGAGAGGAATGATTTTCAGAGATTATTAAATCTGTTGTTAAGTTTTCCACTCAAAAAGTGGAATGAATCTACCTACTGTAAGACTGATTTTCTTCTTCTTCTATTTCTTCTTCTTCTTCTATTTCTTCTTCCAGGCTGAGGAGAAACTTGGCTTCACAGTTCAGATTCTGGAGGAGGCGGCTGCTCTGTTTGAGGAGGATCACAGCTCTGCATCATGGGAGGAGAGGACACTGGAGGACTTTCTCAGTGTTGTAACCCAGCAGGCTGACGGCCTTCGCTCCTGTGTGAGTCTCAGTGTGGATTAACGAAGCCTCACTGGTTCCCTTAACAATTTAAAAATCAATATTCTTTGACTGATATCCTATTTGTAATCATTTTTACTTTTTAAAATTTAGATTGGGAGCCACGGCCACAAGAAGAAGAACAAGAAGCTGCACATGTATTTCAAGAGACTCTCACGCCACGTCCTAGAGCAAATGGTAAGTCTGTCTATTTACCTCCCTACCTACCAACCAACCAACCATCCAATCATGTTTAATGATAATATTCTTCTGTCTGTAGGGCCACGGTGCTGAAGCCTGGGAGCTGGTCAGGAAGGAAATTAGAGACCATCTGACGAGAGCCGACCTGCTGGTTTCATCTCTACTCACCACCAACTAAAATCTGTCAGATTAACGTGTTCATTTATTTGCTTACACAAAGCTTATTTATTTATCAATTCATTTATTTATTTATGAAGCAGTTTATTAGTTGATTGGTTGATATTCTACAGAACTTCTTTATATTGTTTTCAGATTAAGAATGTGTTAAATTATTTGCTTACATGAAGTCTGTTTATTTATTTATCTATTTATTCAAATATGTATTTTTCTAATTATTGATTTGTTTGTATAATTCAGATGATAATGTATTTATTGATGTTGATGAACATCTTTATTTTTTTAATTTGCATTCAGCAAAATCAAAATATTTATTATGTAGACCTAATAAAATTCATACTTTTTCCAGCAAATAGAAATGTTCTCATTGTTTTTATTCCTGTCACATAAACAAAAGGGATGCAGACTTTCCTTTTCATGAGTTAAATCAAACAACATGCAGGAACATGTGGGGCCTTGTTCAGATTTCTAGTAAAACTTGCGTGATGATCATGTCCAGTACTTACACATAAGATAAGAGATAAGATATAACTTTATTCCAGTTTTTCTCAGTTGCTTTGGTGCATTTCTCACATAACTATTTGCATTTGCACAACAGTTAATACAGTACAATTAGTACAAACTGAAAAACCTAGTTGATAACCTGCAAAGCTTGTCACTTGCTCAAAATGGATAGCTCATTAATCGAAAGCAAGTATTCAGTGTCAGTGTCATCAAGAAGAAAAGTCCTGACACCATTGTTTATGAACAAGATAGTCAAATGACTTTGTCATGTTTCCATTATGACAGTTTACTCTGTAAATGTTTTCCAACGCAAAAAAGTCTTGGTGACACTACCTGAAAATGCTCAAGACAGCACTGTATACTATTTGCACAGCCATTTGAAAACTACAGTAAAGTATTTAGTGAGGCAACTGAGTACAAGACACTGAATATGTGTTTCACATTTTTACCGCATATCCTCTTTGCAATTCTAATTTGTTCACAACATTGTGCAAAAGAAAAAATACACCCTTACTCACAACAAACACAAACTCCCTTTGGGTAGAGCTGTGCACAACTGTAAACAATATTGCAGTACATATTGGAACTGAACATACAACATACATAGTACTGTAAATCATTCATGCACATCCAGACGTTCCTCTCTGTCTGGCCACATAGTTTCATCTACATCACAGCGAATATCATCTCTTGCAATGCAGCGAGGAAAGTGTCTCCTCGAGGGGCGAATCCACCCTCTGCAGGACTCTGCTGTGATGTCATCACATGCTGCAGCCATGGCCGCTAGCAGGTCCATTTGGGTATGTGGATGCCGGCCGTATACCTTCCACCTCCAGGAAGAGAAAAACTCCTCTATTGGATTTAGGAATGGTGAGTAGGGAGGGAGATATTCCACCAGCATCCTATCATGTGCTGCAAACTGTCTGACGACATCTGAGTGGTGAGACCGCACATTATCCCAAACAACAACATGCTTGATCAGATGGTCTCTAGTTAGACCCCTCTCATTCTCAGGGATTATGTCCCTGTAAAGAGTGTCTAAAAAAGTCAGCAGATGTTGTGTGTTGTATGGACCAAGACGGGGGATATGGGTGAGGACGCCGTTTTCTGAGTTGGCTGCACACATAGTAATATTCCCTCGTCGTTGTCCTGGGACATCAATGGTTGCTCTCTGTCCAATGCGATTCCTTCCTCGTCTTCTACCTTTTGCCAGATGAAACCCGCCTCATCAAGGTATATGAATGTATGCAGCGTTCCCTGGCCTCCAGCTCCAGTACATGCTTTATTACAGAAGAGGGAGCTGTTCTTGTTCTTGTCCCACTGCAAGCTTCATGTATGATAATGACAGTAGTGCAGTGCAGATTGTTTAGTGCTGAATTACTGTCCATTTATACACACCTGTTTGTTACACAAATGTTTGAATAATTTAATTATTAGCCAACATTTGGCTACACCCTTCGACCATCCTCAGCCATTGTGAGGCCGTGATTGACAACATGATCCACAATTGTAGCCCAGATTTCATCAGGAATCCGCCTATGTACTTGGCCTCTTCTTCCTCTTCCCCTGTTTTGTCCCCTTCCCCTTCCTCCCCGTACCCTCACCCCTCTTCCACGAGTGACTGTAGAGAAGTGGCTTATCATTGGTTGCAACTAATGCTCCAAACACCCCTTCTCATCAGTGAAAGCCGAGTTTCACCTGAGAGAAATTGCTCAATTTAGGAGACATTTTCAGGAAAAAGAAGATTTTAAAAAATGTGCAAAATTTGCTTGACAGATTTTGAAAACTAGTTCAACATTTTTGTATGTAATGACTCAAGCAATGAAATGAGGACTATTAGTTTTATATGGAATGACTATTCAGCATTCACAAGTATAGTTAATTTTGACTGATATGACATAAGGAAATAATAATGTTATAAAACAGCAGAGAGTTGTATGAAAGCAATTGATGCATGTCAAAAAGCATTTGCAATTTGTTGGAAGAAATGAGAAGCTGCTACTATGATGTGCACAAATGACTAAATGTTTCGGAGGTTGAACTAACTGTTGTGCAAATGTTAATAGTGATGTGAGAAATGCACCAAAGCGACTGAGAAAAACTGTAACACGCTATTTACACTATACAATCAATAATAATCATTTACAACCAGATAAATGTCTGAAATTTAATCAGGAATAGTCCGTCAGTTTGGTGCTGTGGTGTTGTGGAGCCTGATGGCTGATAGCGCAAATGAGCCTCCAAAGCTCTTTGAGGCTTGGGGCTGGATGAGTCTGTGGTTGAAGGAGCTCCTGAGCTGCCTCAGCTCAGCATAGAGAGGATGAGAGGGGTTGTCCACAATGACTTTCTGCTTCCCTCTTATCCTCTACTCAGTCACTGCCTCCACATTTGTCAGTTTCATTGCTGTAACTGCACAGAGCTTAAAAGAAAAAAGCTCATCAGTTTCATGACTGAGAACTGAAACTCTGATTTTGACCAGTTTGACGGACTGAGGGAAGAAACATGTCTGTTTTCTGTGCAGTCTAACCTGTGGGACTCTAAATGTTTTGTTAGATGCAGGTTGATATTCTCCAAATAAAACATGGAAGGGAGTCTGTAGTAATGCTACCAGCTGGAGACAACATCCTTTTACAGTAATATGCAGTTTGAAAACTTAATTCAATCAGTCTAGCTTAAAGATGAACAAGAGAGACAACTGTACCATGCACGGATTCCATAATAATAATAACAATAATAACAATATTATTATTATTATTATTATTATTATTATTATTATATTATTATTATTATTATTGTTATTATTATTGTTATTGTTATTGTTATTTTGTTATTATATTGGATTATGATTATTGAGGTATTAATGTGTACATCACTTTAATAATGCAGCTGATGGAAGTGGAGCTAATTTAAATTACTTAACTGGTGGGTAGATTGTGAATTTCCACCCGGGGATCAATAAATCTTAATCTACCATATTACATCATAAGTGTTTATATACTGATTATATTATATTACTAATCTGAACATGTAAATGTGTCACAGCGCCTGTCTGATCGGCCCTGTTTAGTTTGGGTCTCTGTGAGTTTGTTTGTTGGTCAGTTCGGTATCTGTTATTTAGTCTGTGTTTTGGGTTCAGTCCTGTCTGTTGTCCTGTGTCCAGTTTACTCTGGGTGTTTTTGCTTGTTGGTCTGATCCTGTCTGTGTCTTGTTGGGGAGTCTGTTTGTGTTGTTTTGTTATCTTGTCTACCTTGTCTGCTCTATTATAGTTCAGCCCGTGTTTTCTGTTTTGGGGTTTTGTTCCTTGTCTTGTGTTTCCTCTGTTTAACCTTGTTGTTGTTTTCTTTGTTCATTTGCACGTTTAGCTCACTTAGTAACTGTTCTGTCTCGGATCTTGGTTTATTCTTGCATTTTAGCTCTGTGTCTTAGTTAATGTCTTTGTATTTACCCCCTGTTCTGTGTCTGCTTTATTTTGGCTATTTCTGCTCTGTATTTTGTGTAATCCTCGTTTGTTTTCCCCGTTGGCTGTAGTTTATGTGTATTATTTATGATCTGTCTGTTCTGGATTAGTTTATTTATATTATTCTGATCCGTTCTGTCTTATTTTGATATTATTGGTGCCTGCCTTAGTTCTTGTTTGATTCTATTTCTACCTGGTTATTATCATTAGTTTACCTACTGTCATGATTGGTTTCTGTCTGTTGTCAGTTTATGTTCCCTGCCAGTTTCATTTATTTGGTTATGATCACTCGGTGGTAATCTGTTCTGTCTTGTGGAGTTGACTGTATTTCTCAGTAACTTGGTCTGTTTGGTCTGTTCAGGGTTTTGAGTTCCAGTTAGAGTCTTGTCTTGTGTTTTGCTTCCCGTTAGTGTCTCAGTGTTTTCCCTGCTTTCTCTCTGCCTGCCTGTGTCTCATTAGTCTCATGTCTGTCACCTGTGTTGCTCCCGCCCTGCTCGTTAGTACCTGTGTGTCTATGTGCTTGCTAGTTTCCCATCAGTCCTGCTCTGGTCATTGCAGTGAGTTGTAGTATGTAGCCTGCCTTGCTCTGTCTCGTTGTGTCATCCAGTTTCCCTTCTTTCTTTGGATTTTTCAGTAGATCACCTTAATTTGGATTATGGACTCAGGCACTCTAAGTGTGCTCGCTTTGTGTTTAAATAAACCTTTCTGAACTGAACCTGCTTTGTGTCCTGCGTTTGGGTCCTCCAACCTGCTCAACCCTAAACCTGTTAAAAAATGTAAAATAACAAGTCACTAAAGTTATCAAATTAATGTGGTGAAGTAAAAAGTACATATTGCCTCTGAATTGTAGTGATGTCGAACTATAAAGTAGCATGAAATCAAAATACTCAAGTAAAGTACAATTAGGCTACTGTTATATTCTATTATATATTCTATATATCTATATATTATATATATACTACTATATTGCTGCATCAAACCATGTGCTACTACATGTCACCCTATACTGTATCTCATAGTTGTATGTTTGTTTTAACCCTGTTGCAAATCAGATTTTCCCTGGTAGAACAATAAAGGTTGAACTGACAGCACATTATATTGTACTATATTATGTTTGTATGTTATACTGTTTTAATGCATTATATATTGAGTATCATTGCTTAATCATATATAAGTCTGGTTTGATGTTTATGTAAACTATACCAGCTGGCTGTTCTGCCACTAATCACACCAATATATCTCTCTTGCCTTGTAATTCTGTCTTTATTTTAGTTTTACTTAGCCTACTTATAATTATTGTTATTATTTTTACTTTCTGTTTATCTGTACTTAATTCTGTCCTTGAACTGAACTGAAAGATGTTTAAAAAATCTTTGAAAATCTTTTTATATCTGAATACTAATATTAGTTGTGTAAGAGTAATTTAAAAAATGTCCTGTTTTAAAAGTTAAAAGCTAAAACAGAAGAATCGGTGGCATTTCAAAAAATACAGTTATATACAGACAAACCAGGAGTTCTAAAGATTTCTCCTAGTGTTACATTTTTACACGACCAGCCAACTTTTTGATAAAAGACACAATATTTCATAAATGTGCATCATCACACAGTGATGAACAGTAAAGCATACAAGGAATTTCATGATGGCAGATTATCTGTATAGAACATCCCCATATAACAGACGAAGAAACTCTAAGATTTAACAGATATAGATAAATCTATTATCCGCAAAGCTTTCAGAGGCCAAATGGCAATGCTGCATGTTGGTGATGATTATCCAGGGGTGATAAAATGAAATTCATCAGTAGGATTGCAGTAAAACAGAATACATACAGAGGATAGAGAAGAAGACTATTTATAAATACCCCAAAGGTTTCAAATTAATAATGCAGCAACTGTGCAGACCTTTTAAACGGCCAGTTTATGGAGTAAAAAAATAAATGAGCTCCAGGAATTAAAATAGTTTAATGCCATCTGCTATAATGGTTTCTGAAACATTGACATCACAAAACCGACCCATGGGACTGAAAGGAAATCTGGGGTATCTGGCCTGAATAGATGCTATCCCCTCTGTGGATCAAAAAAAGGCCTATCTAAGTGTTTACCTACAGGCCTCTTCCTCCATCTCATGAGTTAGAGTTACAGGTCCAGATTCTAATTCTATGTCATTTTCATTTTATTAGTATCAGGCTGAAAATGTGCTGTAATATGGAAGTTCATAGGTGGAAGTTCACAGGTTTTCTGGTTCTCACGGTTAAGCAGAGATGTACTGAAAACAACGTGAAACACACCATTCATTCATATGGACGCGCGTCGCACCGCAGGCCGCAGTCACGGAGGCGCTTTCATTTTCTCTCTGCTTCTCCTTTTCATGGCACCTACTGGACACAGTGCAATTCATTAATGATTATTATGAATCCACACAGAACTTATGATGCAATTCTAAAGAGACGAAATGATGGTCCGGTGTTGTGCGGAATTCTGCATGCCTGCCGAGAATTACATGCACCTCGAGGGTAGCAACGCTGCTGAGAAACGAGGTGGATGCAAATCTCGGCAGGTAGCCTACAACATCTGTTCTGCCGAATTATGCATCCACCTCTTACGGTCTTTTCAGACAATTTGTTGTGCTCATTGATCAAACGCGGTAATCACCACATATGTTTGCTGAATCAAAAGGAATGCTTCTTCTACAGAGTGTAATACATTATTAAGGACTCTAAACGTTCATAAAATATACTTCGATTAATTATCACCATTGATGTACCCCACAAAGGATATTAGGCTATAGCGTTTAAAAGCAGTTTTTGGAGGTGCATGCAAAACTCGGGATAACACCGGCATTAAAATCAGATGACATAATCAGAAATCTGTAAAATTTGAAACAGTCTTCTAGACAAACAAAATGTAATAGGTAGGCCTAAATAAATGTTAAAATAGCCTAAATTATTCTCAGTAAGCGAGATTTCATTCAAGGACTATTCAATGTGTCTACAATTTTCTCTTTGGCCTGAAAAATTTCAATAATTTTAATATAGGCTAGGCCTATGAGGTAATAATAATATAGGCTACCTCCGATAGGATCGAAAGTAAACTATTCCAGTATTATGAATAACGAGGTGTGTTTGTCTTTGTATTTGAAAAGTATTGTATAATGTGTTTTTCCATAGGCTATTACAATAGAAGCCTCTCTTAATATGTAGCTCCCGGGCATGATATTCTAGCTTTGCGGTGGTTTGTTTAAGCTTTTATCGTAGGAGATTTGTTTTCTCATTAGAACAGTAGTGAATACCGTGGAATCCCGTGTTACCTCAGGTGTATGGAAAGTGAAATAGCTGCCTCCTATAAATGAGGTGCTGCAGGTCTGCTGCAACACAACACACAAGAGAAATCAGTATTTGCTCCTTCCAAAGGCGAATTCTACCTTCTAAAAATGCTCAACAGGATTTTCTCTGTTTGCCTGCTTCTCAGTCTGTACAGTGCAGCCTCCTCCCTCAGCTGCAGATGGATGGATCACAAATTCAGTCAGCACAGTGAAAAGTCTTTGGAGCTACTAGACAGGATGGTAAGTTGCTTCATTTATATTATTCAAAGTATCTATATTTAATGAATTTACTTTACTGTCTTTTTACTTCAGAGCATGACCTGTGTGTTTATTTGTATGATGCAGGAGAACAATTCAACTAACACCACTGGGGATGCTGAAGTGAAGAACACTGCAGCCTTCCCTTATGATCTGTACAGCCAGGCGTCCAAAGCATCAGTGAGTCATCCTCAACTTTTGTCTAAATGCAAAATAGAAGAAGCCAAAGACATGACTTGATTTGTTTATCTTTAATGAGAGGAATGATTTTCAGAGATTATTAAATCTGTTGTTAAGTTTTCCACTCAAAAAGTGGAATGAATCTACCTACTGTAAGACTGATTTTCTTCTTCTATTTCTTCTTCTTCTTCTATTTCTTCTTCCAGGCTGAGGAGAAACTTGGCTTCACAGTTCAGATTCTGGAGGAGGCGGCTGCTCTGTTTGAGGAGGATCACAGCTCTGCATCATGGGAGGAGAGGACACTGGAGGACTTTCTCAGTGTTGTAACCCAGCAGGCTGACGGCCTTCGCTCCTGTGTGAGTCTCAGTGTGGATTAACGAAGCCTCACTGGTTCCCTTAACAATTTAAAAATCAATATTCTTTGACTGATATCCTATTTGTAATCATTTTTACTTTTTAAAATTTAGATTGGGAGCCACGGCCACAAGAAGAAGAACAAGAAGCTGCACATGTATTTCAAGAGACTCTCACGCCACGTCCTAGAGCAAATGGTAAGTCTGTCTATTTACCTCCCTACCTACCAACCAACCAACCATCCAATCATGTTTAATGATAATATTCTTCTGTCTGTAGGGCCACGGTGCTGAAGCCTGGGAGCTGGTCAGGAAGGAAATTAGAGACCATCTGACGAGAGCCGACCTGCTGGTTTCATCTCTACTCACCACCAACTAAAATCTGTCAGATTAACGTGTTCATTTATTTGCTTACACAAAGCTTATTTATTTATCAATTCATTTATTTATTTATGAAGCAGTTTATTAGTTGATTGTTGATATTCTACAGAACTTCTTTATATTGTTTTCAGATTAAGAATGTGTTAAATTATTTGCTTACATGAAGTCTGTTTATTTATTTATCTATTTATTCAAATATGTATTTTTCTAATTATTGATTTGTTTGTATAATTCAGATGATAATGTATTTATTGATGTTGATGAACATCTTTATTTTTTTAATTTGCATTCAGCAAAATCAAAATTTTATTATGTAGACCTAATAAAATTCATACTTTTTCCAGCAAATAGAAATGTTCTCATTGTTTTTATTCCTGTCACATAAACAAAAGGGATGCAGACTTTCCTTTTCATGAGTTAAATCAAACAACATGCAGGAACATGTGGGGCCTTGTTCAGATTTCTAGTAAAACTTGCGTGATGATCATGTCCAGTACTTACACATAAGATAAGAGATAAGATATAACTTTATTCCAGTTTTTCTCAGTTGCTTTGGTGCATTTCTCACATAACTATTTGCATTTGCACAACAGTTAATACAGTACAATTAGTACAAACTGAAAAACCTAGTTGATAACCTGCAAAGCTTGTCACTTGCTCAAAATGGATAGCTCATTAATCGAAAGCAAGTATTCAGTGTCAGTGTCATCAAGAAGAAAAGTCCTGACACCATTGTTTATGAACAAGATAGTCAAATGACTTTGTCATGTTTCCATTATGACAGTTTACTCTGTAAATGTTTTCCAACGCAAAAAAGTCTTGGTGACACTACCTGAAAATGCTCAAGACAGCACTGTATACTATTTGCACAGCCATTTGAAAACTACAGTAAAGTATTTAGTGAGGCAACTGAGTACAAGACACTGAATATGTGTTTCACATTTTTACCGCATATCCTCTTTGCAATTCTAATTTGTTCACAACATTGTGCAAAAGAAAAAATACACCCTTACTCACAACAAACACAAACTCCCTTTGGGTAGAGCTGTGCACAACTGTAAACAATATTGCAGTACATATTGGAACTGAACATACAACATACATAGTACTGTAAATCATTCATGCACATCCAGACGTTCCTCTCTGTCTGGCCACATAGTTTCATCTACATCACAGCGAATATCATCTCTTGCAATGCAGCGAGGAAAGTGTCTCCTCGAGGGGCGAATCCACCCTCTGCAGGACTCTGCTGTGATGTCATCACATGCTGCAGCCATGGCCGCTAGCAGGTCCATTTGGGTATGTGGATGCCGGCCGTATACCTTCCACCTCCAGGAAGAGAAAAACTCCTCTATTGGATTTAGGAATGGTGAGTAGGGAGGGAGATATTCCACCAGCATCCTATCATGTGCTGCAAACTGTCTGACGACATCTGAGTGGTGAGACCGCACATTATCCCAAACAACAACATGCTTGATCAGATGGTCTCTAGTTAGACCCCTCTCATTCTCAGGGATTATGTCCCTGTAAAGAGTGTCTAAAAAAGTCAGCAGATGTTGTGTGTTGTATGGACCAAGACGGGGGATATGGGTGAGGACGCCGTTTTCTGAGTTGGCTGCACACATAGTAATATTCCCTCGTCGTTGTCCTGGGACATCAATGGTTGCTCTCTGTCCAATGCGATTCCTTCCTCGTCTTCTACTTTTGCCAGATGAAACCCGCCTCATCAAGGTATATGAATGTATGCGGTTCCCTGGCCTCCAGCTCCAGTACATGCTTTATTACAGAAGAGGGAGCTGTTCTTGTTCTTGTCCCACTGCAAGCTTCATGTATGATAATGACAGTAGTGCAGTGCAGATTGTTTAGTGCTGAATTACTGTCCATTTATACACACCTGTTTGTTACACAAATGTTTGAATAATTTAATTATTAGCCAACATTTGGCTACACCCTTCGACCATCCTCAGCCATTGTGAGGCCGTGATTGACAACATGATCCACAATTGTAGCCCAGATTTCATCAGGAATCCGCCTATGTACTTGGCCTCTTCTCTCTTCCCCTGTTTTGTCCCCTTCCCCTTCCTCCCCGTACCCTCACCCCTCTTCCACGAGTGACTGTAGAGAAGTGGCTTATCATTGGTTGCAACTAATGCTCCAAACACCCCTTCTCATCAGTGAAAGCCGAGTTTCACCTGAGAGAAATTGCTCAATTTAGGAGACATTTTCAGGAAAAAGAAGATTTTAAAAAATGTGCAAAATTTGCTTGACAGATTTTGAAAACTAGTTCAACATTTTTGTATGTAATGACTCAAGCAATGAAATGAGGACTATTAGTTTTATATGGAATGACTATTCAGCATTCACAAGTATAGTTAATTTTGACTGATATGACATAAGGAATAATAATGTTATAAAACAGCAGAGTTGTATGAAAGCAATTGATGCATGTCAAAAAGCATTTGCAATTTGTTGGAAGAAATGAGAAGCTGCTACTATGATGTGCACAAATGACTAAATGTTTCGGAGGTTGAACTAACTGTTGTGCAAATGTTAATAGTGATGTGAGAAATGCACCAAAGCGACTGAGAAAAACTGTAACACGCTATTTACACTATACAATCAATAATAATCATTTACAACCAGATAAATGTCTGAAATTTAATCAGGAATAGTCCGTCAGTTTGGTGCTGTGGTGTTGTGGAGCCTGATGGCTGATAGCGCAAATGAGCCTCCAAAGCTCTTTGAGGCTTGGGGCTGGATGAGTCTGTGGTTGAAGGAGCTCCTGAGCTGCCTCAGCTCAGCATAGAGAGGATGAGAGGGGTTGTCCACAATGACTTTCTGCTTCCCTCTTATCCTCTACTCAGTCACTGCCTCCACATTTGTCAGTTTCATTGCTGTAACTGCACAGAGCTTAAAAGAAAAAAGCTCATCAGTTTCATGACTGAGAACTGAAACTCTGATTTTGACCAGTTTGACGGACTGAGGGAAGAAACATGTCTGTTTTCTGTGCAGTCTAACCTGTGGGACTCTAAATGTTTTGTTAGATGCAGGTTGATATTCTCCAAATAAAACATGGAAGGGAGTCTGTAGTAATGCTACCAGCTGGAGACAACATCCTTTTACAGTAATATGCAGTTTGAAAACTTAATTCAATCAGTCTAGCTTAAAGATGAACAAGAGAGACAACTGTACCATGCACGGATTCCATATAATAATAACAATAATAACAATATTATATTATATATTATTATTATATTATTATTTTATTATTATATTTTATTATTATTGTATTGTTATTATTATTGTTATTGTTTGTTATTATTATATATGGATTATGATTATTGAGGTATTAATGTGTACATCACTTTAATAATGCAGCTGATGGAAGTGGAGCTAATTTAAATTACTTAACTGGTGGGTAGATTGTGAATTTCCACCCGGGGATCAATAAATCTTAATCTACCTATTACATCATAGTGTTTATATACTGATTATATTATATTACTAATCTGAACATGTAAATGTGTCACAGCGCCTGTCTGATCGGCCCTGTTTAGTTTGGGTCTCTGTGAGTTTGTTTGTTGGTCAGTTCGGTATCTGTTATTTAGTCTGTGTTTTGGGTTCAGTCCTGTCTGTTGTCCTGTGTCCAGTTTACTCTGGGTGTTTTTGCTTGTTGGTCTGATCCTGTCTGTGTCTTGTTGGGGAGTCTGTTTGTGTTGTTTTGTTATCTTGTCTACCTTGTCTGCTCTATTATAGTTCAGCCCGTGTTTTCTGTTTTGGGGTTTTGTTCCTTGTCTTGTGTTTCCTCTGTTTAACCTTGTTGTTGTTTTCTTTGTTCATTTGCACGTTTAGCTCACTTAGTAACTGTTCTGTCTCGGATCTTGGTTTATTCTTGCATTTTAGCTCTGTGTCTTAGTTAATGTCTTTGTATTTACCCCCTGTTCTGTGTCTGCTTTATTTTGGCTATTTCTGCTCTGTATTTTGTGTAATCCTCGTTTGTTTTCCCCGTTGGCTGTAGTTTATGTGTATTATTTATGATCTGTCTGTTCTGGATTAGTTTATTTTATTATTCTGATCCGTTCTGTCTTATTTTGATATTATTGGTGCCTGCCTTAGTTCTTGTTTGATTCTATTTCTACCTGGTTATTATCATTAGTTTACCTACTGTCATGATTGGTTTCTGTCTGTTGTCAGTTTATGTTCCCTGCCAGTTTCATTTATTCATTTGGTTATGATCACTCGGTGGTAATCTGTTCTGTCTTGTGGAGTTGACTGTATTTCTCAGTAACTTGGTCTGTTTGGTCTGTTCAGGGTTTTGAGTTCCAGTTAGAGTCTTGTCTTGTGTTTTGCTTCCCGTTAGTGTCTCAGTGTTTTCCCTGCTTTCTCTCTGCCTGCCTGTGTCTCATTAGTCTCATGTCTGTCACCTGTGTTGCTCCCGCCTGCGTTAGTACCTGTGTGTCTATGTGCTTGCTAGTTTCCCATCAGTCCTGCTGGTCATTGCAGTGAGTTGTAGTATGTAGCCTGCCTTGCTCTGTCTCGTTGTGTCATCCAGTTTCCCTTCTTTCTTTGGATTTTTCAGTAGATCACCTTAATTTGGATTATGGACTCAGGCACTCTAAGTGTGCTCGCTTTGTGTTTAAATAAACCTTTCTGAACTGAACCTGCTTTGTGTCCTGCGTTTGGGTCCTCCAACCTGCTCAACCCTAAACCTGTTAAAAAATGTAAATAACAAGTCACTAAAGTTATCAAAAATGTGGTGAAGTAAAAAGTACATATTGCCTCTGAATTGTAGTGATGTCGAACTATAAAGTAGCATGAAATCAAAATACTCAAGTAAAGTACAATTAGGCTACTGTTATATTCTATATATATTATTCTATATATCTATATATATATATACTACTATATTGCTGCATCAAACCATGTGCTACTACATGTCACCCTATACTGTATCTCATAGTTGTATGTTTGTTTTAACCCTGTTGCAAATCAGTTTTCCCTGGTAGAACAATAAAGGTTGAACTGACAGCACATTATATTGTACTATATATGTTTGTATGTTATACTGTT